ATGTCTGATTATCTACTTGTAGCATAGTGGTTACGAATTGGGCTGCCAACCTCAGGGTCAGCAGTTTGAAACTACCAACTGTTCCACGGGAGAAAGATGAGGCTTTCTGCTCCCGTAAAGATTTACAGCCTCAGAAACCCTGTACAGGGTCACTATGAATTGGAACCAACTCCACAGCACATAAAAACAATAACAATCTACTTGTGGTATTTTTGTTATAGCAGCATTGTTGTTGTTAAGTGCCTTTGAGTCATTCCGACCCATAGCGACCCTGAAGAGGGTTTCCAAGGCTGTAAATCTTTACGGGAGCAGAATGCCTCATTTTTTTCCTGCGGAGCAGCTGGTAGTTTCAAACAGCTGACTTTACGGTTCTTCTCATCCTGATTCGTAACCACTACGCTACCAGAGCTCCTTTAGGTAACTAAAACAATAGAAGTAAGATGAAAGTACATTTTATTATTAGTCAGGAAGGATCTGTTTTGGAGTTGGGCTATATTTGAGTAGATAAAAAGACATATTGACTTCTGAGGATTGTTTAATACTCATTCCTTAATCTGTTCTCTGAATGTAGTTCCCACCTATATATTTTTATACCCTTTAAAATCCTCATGTATTAAATTAGTTCTTGTTGATATTGAAAAAAAAAAAAAGAGTTTAGCATTCAGAGTAGTGTTTAAGATGTGGTTGGTGAAATTTTCCTTAAGGGATATGTTTTACATATGTATATCCAACGTAACAGATCTTGATACCATAGTCAAAATTAAATAGGATTTAGTTCTTTTTTCTCTATAAAAATGTTATTGTAGTGGTATAAATATATAATGACTATGTAAAAACAGTATACAAATTATTTGAGAATGATGAGGTTAATGTATACAAAGGGAGAGGAGTTGGCTGAGAACCATCTTCTAGAAGAATTGTTTTTAATGTTCTCTTAACTTAAATCACTGGCAATCAGATGCAATCTCTTTAACATTATTTGAGTTCTTATATTCGAAACAGTTAAGATACCTGTGAAATGAATTTTTTTGATGCCAAAGGACTCAATACATTTTTCTAATAGTTTGTCATTTACACTTTTTACATGCCTTACACTCTTTTAGGAATCCTGGTGTGGTGCAGTAGGATAAGCACTAGATTGCTAACCACAAATTCAGTGTGCAAACCCAACAGCCACTCCTCTGAAACTCTATATAGTGTTGCTATGAGTCAGAACTGACTCAATGGCACTTAACAAAAACAAACAACAATATATGACATTACTTTAACCTATATGGCTACAATCATACATTGACAGAGAACTTCCAGAGGTTTAAGCTGGATTCAGAAGAGGCTGTGGAATGAAGGATATCACTGCTGACGTCCGATGGATCTTGGCTGAAAACAGAGAATATCAGAAAGATGTTTACCTGTGCTTTA